AGAGGGGACATGGCAGAGTAGAGAGCTCACGGCAATGTTGCCAGAAGTAGAGGGAGAGATCAAGGGAGGAGGAGGGAGACACTGTCTAACCCCTGAGGCCATGCCCCCAGGATACAGCTCCTCAGACCAGACTTCGCCTCCTAATGTCACCTTAAGCTCTACACTCATCATTGGGCTAATGCACCAATGAGTATCACAAGCACCCAAGATCAAATCATCTCCCCAAAGCCCCACTCATGAGTACATCTGGTTTTGGGGGGAGGTAGAGTTAGAAAACATAACAGCAAATATTTTGAACATAAAAGTCATTGAATGACAAATACATCACAAACAGAACAAGTTAATAAGCAAATAAAAGGAACTAATGTTTCAACAAGGTAGACATTCACTACTTTAAAAAATCTTTGCTACCAACGTAATACTTTGTTGAAATATTATTTTTATAGCTGAAAACATAATGATCATTAGAATATCCACTTAAAATAAATTAATACATTAATTAAAATTTTCATTTAATAGCTTTAAAAACTCAAGAGCACACTTGATTAATAAACAGTTGGAAAATTTATAGTACCTGTATAATCCCACTGTGGGGTATAATATAGTAGCCAAGTTAGATGTGTTGCCAAATACATGGAATCTGAAAAATATGATGGAAGGACTAAGGCTTCTAATTTTACATTTAAAATATTAAATATGCTTGGTGGAATTTTCTCTACTGTAAAGTTTATGCATCTAAGCACGAATGAGGTATTTTTGATAAAAGTTTGGTCTTTGGATTTAAATCTACTATAAATTATAAAAATGATCATTATTTAAAAAGGAAAAAGGCAATATTTAATTTTATATTTTAAATATTATATTAATGATAATTTATTTATGTTGGTTTGAAAATTGTTACTGAAATTTTAAAAATTGACCTGTCTTAATTTTTTAATAGCCACTAAAATGATCACATGATATTTTTAGATGGAAATATTGAATCACTGATGATCTCTATTGTAACAATTAAAGCACCTCAACATTTGCAATTTATGAATACTGTAGCCAAACATTTGAGAAAAGCCATTAAAATCATCCAAAAATTAGGGTTTTAGAATCAACTAGTATCATCCTGCTTTCCCTTCTCCGTGAGACCATTTTGATTGTTAGTAAAGTGTCCAGAGCTGCTATTAGATGAATTTTTAAAAGAAACTTGAATTTATAATACTCAAATATCACTACAGGATAGAAAGGCTTCTGCTGACTATTATAGAGACCCTGGCCTGCTCCACTCCTGAGGCTGTGGCCCCAGAAAATGCCTGCATCTGTGCAAAGGAAGTGGCTTTACCTACCAGACACATGTAAGTAAGCTACCTGCCAGACACGGGTAAGACAGCAGGAGTAAGTTAGCTACTCTGAATATTCCTAACAGCACGACAGATTGCAACCTGCAGTATCATAAACACAGGCCCAGAACAGAGCTGAATGTTCCTTCCAGGTGCAGCTTATTGGTCTTCCTCTGTCATATGCAGGGAGAATTCTGGCATTACGTCATCCTTTGCCAAAGGATTCACTATTCTCTCGGCTTTCACTTCGATTTTATTGGTGTCCTAACAGTTTTACAAGGACTTAAGCAAAGCAGATGTTGTTCGATTTACAGCTAAGAAACAGAAAGCATTTCCTCTTTGGTGATGGAACATTTACTCTTGGAAATAAGAATTAAAAATCCATACTTGCGAGGCAGCCCCATAGACCTGGTCATTTCATCTTAAAGTACATGTAACATTTGTTGGGTAAGAGCAGACTAACCACAGACTTCACAGACATTTGGTTTCCAAAATCTATTTTATCATGTTTTATGATTTAACTTACATGATCAAAAGAAGCCATAAAATTAGTGACAATAGAGTGCACCCTCTAAGTCTAATTTATTTATTAAAGTTATTACTTTTGTAAAGTTACCTAAGTGAGTCAAAGGGGAAAATGAAAAGTTCTCCCTTAAAATTTTTTCCTGAAAATACTGCCTACCTTTGAGTAGTAATTTTTGCACTGCGGTGAATTAAAACTTGTTTTTGGTTCACAATAAACAACATTTTCATGTCATATGTTTTATTTAATGCAAAGGAAAAGCAACTTAGCTATGCTTTTAGGAATCTAAAGGGCACTGAGAGGGGCATATTTCAGATAAGTCGTTAATATCCCTTTTGAAAGAGTATTAGTAGTTTCTTATTCGATGTAAATTTCTTAAGTAGCTGACATTTATTTTGTTACCCACCACCTGATCTTGCTATCTTAAAATCTTTTTTTCATTTGTTTTACATTTATTCATGTTCTAATGGTTGCCAGGGATTTTCAATTAGGATTTTCTTAAGAAGTGACTTCTAAGATCTTTCTTCTTATACAAGAGATATTGGACCTATGTGAAATAAAGCAATTCCCTCTATCTGCTAAACTTTTATGGATCATTCATCTTGATTATAGGATTAAGAGTTTTTAATTTTTAACGATTAAATTAAAGCTTGGAGTTCATTAAAATATAGTAGACATATATTTATGTTAAATATCATTCCTCTTTTGGTATTTTTTTGGAGATAGTATATTGTGTTCTGAAGTTCAGAAAAGATCTAAACTACATGTATTTTGAAGAATGCTATCCCTTATCTTTTTAACATATATTGATCTTACAAATGTACACTCAAAAGCATTTTGTTGTTGGGGTATCAAACCATACCACTCTGGCAGAATGTCTGTGTTTTGGGCATGATGAATCCACAAAAATTTTATATTTACTTAATTCTCATGTTTATCAAACTACTGTGGTAGTTATCTGGAGAAATTTTTCAGGCATAAACCTTACCCACATAGATCTGAAGAGAAGTTTTGACAAAACATGACAAAAAGGGGATTTGGGTTAAAAGTAAAAACAAGAATTCATTCACTCAGACTTCTCATTCTGTAAGTCATGTAATGAACTTTGTCATTTTGACATCTAGAACATTTCTTTTCTCCCATCACCTTCGAATTAATTGGCTTGTACAGAGGACGGAAGAGGAAGAGGAATGGAGTTCAGTGTTCCCAGGGGCTCCTGTAGCTGTTTGTATCACTAAAGCATTTTGAAGTCAGGTAGATGTTAACTTAATAAGGGGAGCCCCACTGGCCCTCTGTCTACTCCAGACAATCAAATGGCATAATTGTGTCTATGCTCGCTCTTCAATTGTTCTTCTGTAACACAGGCTGAGAAGTAGTTACCAACTCTTATTAACTCAAATTAGATTGATGAGAAAGATGATAAATACTACAGCATAAAGATTAAGAAATTAATCCTAGTTTGAAGCCTCAAAGATGTGGAGTACAAAGGAAATCAGCGTCAAAAGGACAAACCAGGCTGCTGTTCCCCGGATGGAAGAAGCAGAGCTGATCCACTGCAGGCTTTACCCGTTGGCATGAGTATTGCTGACTTCGTTCAAGAAGAAATCTTTGCATCTACGGAGAAAATCCCAGGTGTGCAATGGCATTCAGCCTTATCTTTCACTTGATTCTGCATTTATTGTTGGTTTGGAGATGGAAAGACAGGGCAGTCAGAATAGGAAAGCTAATGGTTTATTCCAAAAATCTCTGTGTTGTGCATTTTACATAAATGCACAACTGTTAAGCACATTGTATAAAAGAGGCCCCGTGAAAACTTCCACCTATTGTTATTGTTTCCAGAATCCATTTATTAGCAATCAATGTACATGAATGAGTGGATGCAGTGGTGTCCTCCTCTAACCCCAGCACTCTGGGAGGCCGAAGCAAAAGGACCTTGAGTACCAGCCTGGCCTGAGCAACTTAGTAACTCAGTGAGACCTTGTCACCAAAATCAAAAATAAAATAAAAAAAGGGGTTGGGAAGTACCCCAGTGCCAAGGCCCTAACTCGAAGCCCCAGTAATACTAAAACAAACAAACCAACAAAACCCCCCAAAATGAAAAACAAAACCATACAGTTAAAACGTACACACTACCTTCGCATATTTACTATTCATTAAAAGTTGTTACAATGATTTTTCAACTTCTGTTCTATTGCTTATATTATTCACTAATTTCTTCAATTCTCAATAATTTAGGAAAAACAAGCTTATACAGGAAAGATAACCATTTTTTGCAAATTCTATTCCAGTATTGTTAAAGTTTTTGTTAAAATGTTAGTTATAAATAATGTATTTCTATCTCTGTTCTTTGTGCTTACAAAGAGAATTTAAAAGAGGGGTTGGAGGGAAAGAGAATGGGACAAAAAGAGGAAAGAAGATGTATTCAGATCAGGTACCAAGTCTCTGTGATGAATGTGATAATTACGTATATCTAAATTATATAAATAAACAACAAAAATTTAAGGTAGAACACAGAATACAAATAAATAAAATAACAATATAATAATATAAACATTTGTTTGAAATTTAAAAATAAATAAAGAAAAATAAAATGAAAGCAATTTGTATCAAACCATGCAGTACAATTGAACAGTAGACTTTACTTAGGGTTTCCTGAAAACCAGAGTGAAAAGAGAGCCAGCCAAATAGGGAACATGACTTTCATTACTGAAAAGAAAAAGTAACCCCCAAAGGAAGCAAGAAATCTATTATTTGAGGTCTTTGGGCAGCAGCATACATTGTGGCTCTCTGAGTGTGGGTCTCCTGAGTATCTGCAGTTGATAGTGGGTGTTTGGTACATTTGAAAGACACATTTAAGTTGCTATTACAAATAAAAGTGGGTTGTGATATCATGACTCCTAACAGTTTGCCCACTCATAATAGGCTATTGGGTTGATTTCCGGGTCTTTTCTCCCTCTCTCCTCACAGTTAGAGGTCACTAAGCTGTTTCTGCTCTAACACACCAAGCAGAACGCTACATGAAAGTGAATCTCAGATACGGTTTAGCAGACACAGCTTCCTTATTAAATATGCACAAAATATTGAAACAACCAATTATTCAAACTATATGATTCTAGCTCTCCAACCTTTAGGAAGTGACCAGTACTCACCTAAAAGCTCCACTGCAGACCCATGTGACAGTAGACTTGAGGCATCAGCTAATCATTTAGTCATAATTAGGCAAATCCTTTCTTATTCTTGAGGGTCAGGGGAAGCTTAGGAGTCCTGTAATAGGGGAGACACATGGAAGGATGTTAATGCAGGGACATTAGGTTCTCATGCCATCACAATGGGGAAAAGTTTTCAAACATCTCTATTCTACTTCAGATAGAGACAGGGATCCTAAAAGTCTTTGGTATTTGAGGTCATTGCACTCAGAATTACTATTTTTAAATTACAGCATGCTCATTAGAACTTTTCAAATGTTCTACTTACCCATGGGGAGTAGAATCTTAATTAAAACACTTCAAATGATAACCAGCTTTAGCACGTAGGATACAGTTAGGTTATCCACCCACAAACCATGTGTATGCTGAAATATTTAAAATAATTGGTAAGCAACTCAATCTTAACATGAGAAGTCTTAAGGTTTTCCTGAGATATCTTTACCAACTCTTTCTCTTGAATATGTATCTGCTAATAAAACAATCTTCTCTCATCAAATATATTTAATTTATAATGCAGTCTTTTTGGAACCTTATTGTTCGTGGTAGTTTATGTTTCAGATTATTCTCTATGTATCACTTAATGTACCCTCTGAGATTCTGTGAACTGGAATACGATTCAATCAATACTTCCATCCCACAAGTAAAGTGTCTCCCTGCAACAGTGATGTGTTCAGAGTCACACAGCAGGTCTCCTCATCTCACGGTTTTTCCATGGAATAATTTTCTCAACTAATTTCTTTTATTTGTAAAAACCTTTCTGGAATTTTTTTCAGGAAAGTCCGTGAGAGAAATACTTTTTATATACTTTCACTTGTTTTCCTCCTCAAAATAATGCAATGAAATGCTGTGAAAACATTTTGTTTTGCTGGATAGGAGCATGTTTTTAAGTTAACTAATGATCTTTCCCTAAAAAGAAAAATTCTCCAACATAGAATTTAACTGTAAATTGTAGTTTTTACTATGCAGAGTTTGAGTGCAGTGTGTGCTTTACAAAAATCACAAAAAGGCACTGCATAATAATCCCACTTTAAAATATAAATCAGAAATCTTGTGCACTTATTTAGTACTGAATATTCACAAAATGGATGTAGTTCGGACAAAAGGCTTCAATTTATTTTTCTTCTCCCATGGGTAATTAATTTGAAGTCCTCTGAATTTAGAATTAATTTCTTCTCCCCATCCAGTGTCTTCTTCAATATGGAAGAGCTCTTTCTGAGCAAAGAATGTTGATTTATGGAAACAGCACTAGTCCAATATGACAACCTTGCGTTGCCCATTTTTGCCAGTTATTTGCTAAATGGCCAGAAAGTTTCTGTTACTGCATTAAATCTGGATTGCAACATCTGAAAAGGGGTGTGTGAATGGCAGTGGTACAAGTTCTACAGAAATAGTAAATGAGCAAAATGTGTCAGGGTCTTCTGTGGGTTTCCTACTTCAAATGCTAGCTCAGGTATCCAGCACTCAGCCCCTAGCGAGCCCACTTATGCCCCATAATGGTCACAGTCTCCCCGCTTTGCTTATCCCCACCATTTCATTTACCTTTGCCGGGTCCTGTGCCACTCCCATAAGAACACAGTCCATGATGAGAGTATGTTCTTAGTCTTTGTAGGTCTGCCCCATGAACTGTGCTACATACCAAAGAAATTCTCACAAAAAAATCATTAAGTAAATGAATTGTTAACAATTGAATGGAATTCGGTGGGATGGAGAACTGTTCATTCATCTTTCAGGATTGTTGTGAAGATCAAAACTGGTAATAAACTGATAAGGTAAATTAATTCCTTTAAATTTAAGTGCCTGGACAATTTCTCCTTTCTTTCCCTGTCATACATAGCTTCAGAAAGTGATGGAGGGTTTGGATCCAAATAAACCTCACCTGTTGTCATGAATTTGGGCCTAACCTAGGCAGTTGTGCATGCTGCCCCAGTGCAGACCAAGTGTAAAAGCCCTGGAGTCAAATGCCTCTGTGTAACGTCCCGTCCTGGTCACCGCGCTTGCTGAGGTTAATAAGCACTGTGGATGTCTCAGGCTGCCAAGCAAGGAGCTGTGACAGGAGGCCAAACAGGGAACTGCTGGCTGCCATGGGCTCACGGAGATTTGTGTCTAACAAGGCAGATGTGTCGCTGGGCTCTTTGGAGGGGAAATGAAGCGATGGACTGGTGCTGGGCACAGGAGACGCCAGGTCCTGACAGGCTAAGGTGTGAGCTGCTGAATCCTAACCACCCCAGACATCTTTAGAAGAACAAGGTAGCTGGTTGAGGCCAAAGGCAGAGGAGGATGCCGGGGAAGGAGCTGTAGGCAGCGCCCACAGGGAGCAGCAGAAGAAAGGGCAAGTGAGATTACTGGTCATCTGGCGTCTTAGATCCCTTGCAAAGCAAACAGCAAACACAGCCTTTGAGCATTGTGTCTGTGTACTTGCCAGGTGCTGTCTGGCTGGATCTCAGACTCTGCTCAATATGCACAGCTAATGTTAATGTTGTTTGCCTGACTTTGTTTTCTTTTATTTTTCGTTATGTAGTTATTATTTATAATTTTAAAAAAAACTTAATATCTCATTTTCTTTGATACAGAACTCTAATTCTGAGTGAGAGGAGAAAAAGAGTCAGGAGAGAAAAGATTTCCATGAGGCATGTTTTAGAAAGCTTTTCCAATAGAAAGATATGTTCCAAATGCAGCAACGAAACATACTCAAATATATTATTTATTTATCAAGTATGCATCTATTTACATACTTTTCTTAATTTTAAAATACTAGTATTAAAAAGAAAATAGGCAATTTATTTAACTCACGCTATTTTTATAAGATACATTTTTTAAAATGAAAACCAGTGTCACTAGTAGCATCACAGTTTATTTTATTTGATAATTAAGGCATACAAATATATCAAACTATTTTTTAAAAACTATGGTATTTGCAATAGTAAAGGATATTTTTTAAATGGGAAAGTATAAATGGAGTGAAAGTTTTTGTATGCCTTTATTATCACCATTTCATTACATTTTATCCCAGCTCTTTGCTTATATAATCTTTACTGTTATTGATTTAATAGAGACTAATCTGTACTCCCTTAAATTTTCAAGACTGCCAAATGTTCAGAAAATAGTAGTTTCTTAATTACAATTACTGGTAAATTTACAAATGAGTGAAATTAATGCCTTACTTATATCACACTGTTTAAATTTCATACCTTTTAGAGTGGCAGAACTTATGTTTTAAACGTGAGCCATGATCGGAAATATTAATAATTACATTTTTGAAAAATCTGTTACAATAGCAGATAAATTACCATTAACTCCCTTCCAGATAAACACCCCTTGCTTTGAGCAAACTTGTGGCATCGTTCCTGCCACTTTCTGCAGCAGTTCTCTTTCAGTATTGCAGTCTATATTTCTGTGGCAAGAGTCTATGCAGGTCTTTTGCCCTTTAAAAAAAAAAAAAAAATTTGTTGGTTTCTCTTACTGTTGAGCTTTTAGAGTTCTTTGTGCATTTTGGAGAACTGTGCTTTTATGACACATATAACTTTTGTAAGTATTTTGTACCAGCCTGTGGATTACCTTTTCATTGTCTATACATATTATTTTTACAGAGCAGAAGTTATTAATTTTAATTACAGCTCATATATAATTAATTACTGTGAGTAAATAGGTATTGATTCTAAAAATATGATTGTCATCCCAGTTTTCCCCTATATTATATTTTGGGGCTTTTATAGTTTTGAATTTTAAATTTATTCTTTGATACTTTTTGAGTTTCTTTTTCTGAAGACTATTTCTTTTTCTATATTCATTTCTTTGCATGCACATGTTCATTCTGCATCGTGTGTTTAAAAAGTTGTATCTTCTCTGTGGGTTGCATTTACTAATTTGTCAAGGATTAGTGGACTACCAGCCAGACCAGGGCACACGGCACACACTTGTTTGAGGGTGGAGGAATCAGCAAGACCAGCAGTGTGGAAGCATCTGCAGCAGCAGCCAGGAGGCAGCAGTGGGCTCTGGAGAAGTCCAGCAGGGCAAGGCCAGTCTCAGCCCCTATATCCAAACAGAGGCCAAGATCAGCTAGCTCCACGCCCTGCACATTTCTGGGATCTAACATGGACATTATCACAGAACTGTAAAAACTAGAGGTGTTTTACTACTTTTGTTATCCATTGTTTGTTTGAGTGGCTTTCCCTTTCCTTGTCTGGTTTGATGTTGTCTTGTTTTGTTTTCTATTTTGTGGTCATTTTTGTTTTGGTACTTTTTTTCTCTCTCTCTCTCCTCTCTTTCTCTGGCCTCCTGTTTATTGTTGTTGTTTTATTTTCTTTTTTCTTTCTGTCTTCTCTTTTTCATTGTTATTGTCTTTTTTTCACTGTATAAGTTTCAGAGCTTTCTTTTTCAATCTCTTCTATTGACTCACTTACTTTCCTCAATTAATTCTTGAATTGAAACTTCCTAGCAAGTAAACATTGTCTCTTTCCTTTTTGATTACTCTTTTGCATTTTATCTCTTCTTTCCATCCTGTGTCCTCCAATTTGGCAAAACATGAGTGGTCATCCTTTGACCTCCATTCTGGACACACTGTATTTGACCTCATTCATCACTTATCCTGTCCCCTACCCATTTTAATCTGAACCCCTCACCCTACAAAAGACTAAACTCATGCCACTAAGAGGAAAATCACTGAATACAAATATACATCATATGTTTGATTTTGTTGTATAACTTTGGAGTTTGCTTCTGTGATTGGAGGTTACAGATTAATGATTATCATAGTTTGTTGGCAGTTAAGCTGTTCTGGAAATTAGTATTTATTTATTACTAACTGTACTACATTAACCAAGATGTCATACATATTATAAGCAGTTTTTCTCCCCTATATGACAACACTGTGACTCTATAGGGTTCTAATAATCACCACTGCCCAGTAACAAAGGATTAGTTGCTGAGCCAAATAGCAATTTTGCATCCTTTACAAATTGGGATGATCGGTTCTTGTGTTAGCTGTAAAGAACCACCCACATCTAGAGGACATCCCTGAAGGACAGACATTTCCTATGAGACCCTCAACACTAATGATAAAGCTGC